ATTATGGTACGGAACCGAACCGACCCGAACCGAACCGAACGGAACCGAACCCGATCGGTTCCATATTTATATTTGGACCCGACGGGTCCATTTATTAAATACCCGAAAGTTTTGGGTCGGTTCGGGTATCTTCAGAACCGAACCGAACCGACCCACGGACAGCCCTAGTTGTGGTGAGGGTGTGTAGGAGGCAGTGATGGTGGATCTGATTCTGGTAACTGTGGTCTGAAGTACATCTGAGATTATGGTGGCAGCGGCGTGTAAGAGGTGGTGATGGTCAATCACAATTTGTTTATAAGTCATAGATCACATTATGTAGGTCACAAATCAATATCCACATGTCACTATAATTAGGTCACAAATCAATGTAGAGAAAATTGATCACATATCAATGCCTATAGATCACAGATCAATTTAATTGATCGCAGATTAATGTCCACAGATCATAGATTAATTAAATTTGGTCACATATTAATGTTCACAGGTCACAGTTCAATATCCACAGGTCACACGTTACATGTAACTGGTATCCGAGTGCATAAGTCACGGGTCACAAATTCAATAGATCGGTCACATATCATTAATTTCTTTGGCATCAGTTATTGGAACCAATAACAAATTCAATTAAGTACATATCAATTAAAATTGATCATGGATCAATGCCTATAAGTCCTAAACCATTTAATTGGTCACAGATCAATGTCATTAGTTAAAAATCAATTAAAATTGGTCACAAATTAATATTCATAGGTCACGGATAAATGTTCACAGGTCACATGTTACATGTAATTGATCACATATCAAAGTGCAGGTCACGAGTCTCAAATTCAAGAGATTTGGTCACATGTCATTGATTGCTTTGACCCCAGTTATCCGAACTGGTCACAAATTCAATTAACCAGGTTTCGACGGTGAAAATTGAAATTATTTGCTCTGATAAGTACTTTGTTAACACTAGTGGTTGTTTTTCAATGATCAGGTTTAAATCTTACCAACATTGTTAAGTGTTGCTGAAAAAGATGATCACTTGCCAGTGATGCTCAGTTGACGTTCTCCAATGGTCGCTATATTTCTCCCTTTATCTCCATTATTTGAGTCGACGATGCTTAGTTGTTACTACGCGATTTTAGTTTGTCGCTCAAGAAGTTGTGGACGACAGTAAGAATCGATGATGATTGATAAGAGTGGGATGGGGTGTGGACGGTTGTTTGATGGGGGTGGGTGTGAGTAGATTAATTTAAATTGATAATATTATTATTTAAAATTAAAATGTTGAATGAACACCTGACTTTTAAATTTTTAAACTTAATGTTAGAAAAGTTGATTTGGTGTAAACTTAATA